TATCAAGAGATGTCATTTTTATACAAACAAAACCAAGTGCGCAGCAACAGCGACATCCACTCTATCTACCCTACAGAGCAAAACCATTGGGCGACAGCCATTAGGCGGCAGCCGCTGGACCGACCGAGCATTCAGTGATGTACATCTGTCTACGTACACATAGACCGGCGAACTGCCCCCCCACTCCATTCACATGATTACTGTTACGGACTCGAACCTGGGACCTTTGGATCCGAACATGACCGCAATCCCAAGCCAATCAGCTGTCATCTCCACTTCGCTGCCTGCCACGTAGCCTCGATTGTCTTCTTCGTTGCCGTCTGATCAGCTTAACCTTTCCACCCGCGAAACCTTCATCTACCCGAAGGTGAGACGTAACAGGAACAATATTTAGGAAGTTCTTGGCGCGACTCCTCAATGGAGCGTCACTACAATGGACGGCTTGGAAAGATGCATGGGAAGACAGCAGTAAAAAGTTCGCCGAAATGTAGTTGATCAGCTGTTAAGAGACACCGGGCTCTCGCCTCAACTGATACGCTGTAGAATAATGGTCCGTCTATCAAGCGGGAGTGAGCGGACGACGCCAAGTGCCGCGCACGGGGAAGGAAGACTGCAGAACTATCCACCGAGATGCGAGTCGACAAAGCGGAGGACGAGCTCGAAACACGCATCGGCCAAACTAAGACAAAAGGTGCCTTCATGCCCTGGACAAAACGGCTAGACGGTTCTGAGCACTAACAGGGAATAGGGGCAGGGGGGGCGTGTTGTTGGCGAGTGCCATATTGACATGTGATGTGAATGGTAGACCGGTGAATATGGTGAAGGCCTTTAAGTCGCTTGAACCGTGGGACACAGTGAGCACGGTGATGGTTTACGGTTTCAACCTTCTCGACCAAGTCCCGGACTTGGTAGTTGGGTTGCCGGGCGTGGAGCATGTTGACCTGTCCACTGAGGAGCTGAAGGAACTGCACGAGGAGATTAGGACCAACAAGCAGTTGCGTGGAGGTATTCTGAAGACGGAGAGTGTATCCGCTCGTTCCTGTTCCGTGTTTCGTCCGCTCGTTCCTGTGGGTCTCGTCCACTCGTTCCTGTTCCGTGTCTCGTCCGATCGTGCCCGATCACCGTGCCGCTAACTTATCTCCATCCGCGAAGCACTACGGCCGGGATGAGCATTACGACCTGTGGCTTGTGACGAAAAAAATGTGACCGAGTTCCCTTTACTGAGGTCGACGGATTGCAATAGGCATCCTGGTGGCGGTGGTCCGACACCCCTTTCTCCAGTGGCCTATGCTGCCGCAGTGGTTGCAGCGAGAGCTCCGTCGGAACAGTCCGCCCCGTCTCCGTGTCGAGCCCACTCACGATCGCCACTACGACGAGAGCAGCACCACTCCACAAATGCGGTACCGGCCCCCTGTCGACCCGCAGGTCAAATTGGACCCAGCGGTGCTCAGGCAATTCACTCGCACCCTCAACCGCATACTGCGCCGCTTCCGGAGACACAAAACGCTTCTGCTCTTCCACGACACCCAGCCCTGTCGCGAAGCAGTCAGCAATCCAGCAACAGACCTCCTGGGGGATGAAGAAGGGGCGATTCAAGAGGAGCCAGACCTCTGGGTGCAAGACTTCCTGCCAGCTTACGAAGAACCAGCTCCCGAGACGGCGGCTTACGAGGGAGCGGCTTGCGGGGGATCGGCTTACGCGGGAGTGGCTTACGAGGGAGCGGCTTACGAAGGAGGACCCAATGCGGATTTGGCTGGGCCAGATGGCTGGGGAGGACCCTTCTGCGATGCCGCCGACGTTGCCGATGGCGTATGGCGGGGGTGACTTGGAGAAGAACGTGGTGGAGGACGTGAAGTGGGCGGTGGAGGCGGAGGTGCGGCATAAGCAGCCTTTGACCGTGTTTTGGGGTCTGCCTTCAGCTTCTCAGGCGGGGGACGAGGAGTTGATAGAGGAGGATTTGCAGGATGAGAAGGACCGGCGTGGACAGACGAAGTTGAACTTGCCACCGATGGAGTCGATTCGCGAGACGGTGCTGTTGAACTATTTGTGGAAAGAGTTGATTTCGGGCGGGAAGAGCGGAATGGACGGCGGCTTATCGTGTGTGGGTACGAAAGATCGTGGCCGGCGATTGTCCGCCCAATTTTGTGGCGGAGAAGCACATACTCTCATCGA